TGAAATAAAATAATACAAATGATTGAATATCATGAAACCATTAATAATTTGTCAAAGAATGCCTAATGACATGAGAACATTTTCACAATATAGTGCTAAATGAAGAGCATAGAACCCCAAACTGTAAATATATTAAAATGCCAATTTTAAAAGCTATGTATTTATAATGTATGTATTATATAAAACTTTGTAAGAAAGGTTATGAAAATATTTGTTGGGGTGATTGCTGAATGGTAGGGCTATTAATAATTATTGTCATCATCATAAATTCTGGGAAGCTTCCAGGCAGTAGAGTTGACAAAAAATGACCTGTGGAGGCTCCCTCCCTCTGTGCCCCCACCCCTGCTCTAAATATAGATGGCAAAGTGTAGGCATGCTCTGGCTAAGTATATTGCCTTGCTTGGTTCATAAAAAGTCTTCCTGGCTTGACATATTCATTGTCATTCACAATTTTGAATTACTGAGTCACAGAAATGCAAGTTAATAATCCTTCATGGTTAAAAATCACCATCAAGCATGAAATCATTCCTGGATGTCCTCATGCAGGATCACCTACTGAATCCAGGAATGTACTACTACAGCTGGACACACATACCTTTTCAGTCTTCCAATCTTTCCTGTTAAACTTAGTGTAATCTTCTTTTGCTTCTACAGGCTCATCAGATAACTTTACTTTCTGCAATGTTAGAGCAGTGAAGTGATGTCAAATGTCACCTCGACACATCAATCCATTTTTAAAAAAACAATGGGGTCAATTTGGACCCGCATCCAAGCCAAATGGAACAGCAGACCCTGCAAAGGGGGCTCACTCTGCATTTTGCCAATTATCTGGGAGAATGAAGCCACATATACCTTCTGGGAAGCAGCCTCGGTGATGGGGGTATATGATAGGGTGAGTCCATGACCCAGCCTGGTGGGCAGTCTAGAGGTACTGATCACATACTTTGTATGTACCAGGACTGGGAGGCATCTGGACGACTGCTGACTTCCAGGACAGTCTAAGGGGGTGAAGGCAGGCACAGAAGTCAAAGACAAGAATTTCCTTTAAGGGGCCAGGTATCCAGCTAGAACCCCCACTTCATTCACCTTCTGGGCTGGGGGTGTAATGTCCATTTAGGAATAAGGCACAACATTATTCTGTTATTACCATTTTTGTATCGCTTCATGTTCTTACCTCCTTTCAATTCAACTATCTCATTTTGTCCAAACAAGGACAACCTTGCAAGGCAAGCAGCCAGAAGGAGAAGGAAGCACAGAGAGATTAAACAAATGACTTAAGCCCACTTAGCAGAGGACAAGGCGTGAGAGCTCCATTTCTGTACAAGTGTTCTTTCCATGAGGCCCAATATAACTAAGTCCACCTTTACTTCATGTTTTTACCTTTCACATGAGCATTCTGCACCAATGAACGTGGGAACCTTGTCAAGAGCTAGACTGTGGCTTTAATGTTCACATTATGGAAGGAATTGTGACACATTTACTATGTAAAAGGCACATAACAGGGCAGGTAAGTCTTGATATTTAACACAGAGAATTGACTGCACGTGACCACAACTTGGATTTTTGCAGATCTTCAAGTTCTTTGTGGAGACACCAGGGTTGAAAGACCCAGTGTGGATCTTCCTCAGGAAATGCAGATTTATTCCCAGCTTCCCTCTTCCTACCCCAGAGTTTGCTAAGCAAAGAGCTGTACAGTTAGTGTTAAAAGATGCCACGGCACATGTATAAAACCCAACGAGGTAAAACAACGTGTCTTGAAATTCTTCGCTGTAAAAAAACAGGGGGGCATCGTGGAAATACATAACATCATGTGGCATCACCTTCTCTTGGTCACCCAGCAATCTCTAGCAAATGAATCTTCAAAAGAAAAAGACTAGCTTATCACGAACGAACTACTACCAGCACAGTATGTATATAAGCAATTTCCTTAAGAATATGTTTCTACTTAAAAATTAAGATCAGTAAAGGGCATTTAGGTGATGCATATTTTTGCTAGAAAAGTATCTTCAACCAGGAGAGTGGAACTCACAGGTAATAACGATTAAGGCTGTAATTGTCTCAAATTGCAAAAAGCTTAAAGTTATAAGATGGTTTGCTCTCCTCTGTGGCAAAATGTCCTACTTTAGGTGTCATTATAAACACTTGGGCATATTCACTTTTTGCAGGTAAGTCAAATGAAAAAATGTTCAAGGCAAGAGCTTAAGATGAAAAGTGCTTCTTCATAAATATGCAGTGGTTAATAAGATGATGTACTTGCTCAGGTGTTTTAATGGCTCCTATCAAACAGGACACCAGTAATTAGTGCTCGTAAAAAATAAAATTATTGTGGTGGGCCTCTGCACTGAACTTTTTCTAACATTACTCACAGCACATGCTGAATATGTTTGAAAGAATCACAACTGTTACACTTATTTGAATTGTTGTTATTTAAAAGACCAAACAGGGGCGCCTGGGTGGCTCAGTCGGTTAAGGGTCCGACTCTTGATCTCAGCTCAGGTCTCTATCTCAGGGTTGTGTGTTTAAGGCCCGCTTTGGGCTCTGCCTACTTAAAAAAAAAAAAAAAAAAGACCAAATCGCTACAGATGTCAGGGGATGTTTCAGAACAAACAGAAAAAGGGCTCAGAAAGATAGTAACAAAGGCTATGACTGAATGGGTACAGTTCTGGAAGGAGAAGAACAAACAGCAGAGTACCACAGGAATTAATGCTAGGACGGGTCTTATTCTTACAGATGATCTGCAAGAAGGAACTCAAGAATATCTCCAATCCACTGACTGCACTCAGTTCTGCCAGCTGACAGCGATAAATTACAACGATGGAAGGGGGCAAGGGTTGGAAGCTGAGCTTCGACACAGGCAAATGTAATAGTGAGAAAATAATGCAAAACACATTAAGGATGACAGGTTTTATACTATCATTACAAACAGATACAAAGATACCTAATGACCACTGGAATGGATTTCCTGAAAACCATCAACCATATTACTGTAAAAGTCAATCAAATCTGGGACACAGACAAGAAGGCTAGCAGAAGATGTTATCCTAAACTTGTTTAAAGTGTGGTACATCATCCAGTGCAGTTTGCACTCCATACACTAGAGCCCCAGCAAGATATAATAGACCAGGAGACCTCGAACAGCAACTAAACAATCCAGGAGATGAGGCTGAGATTTAGGAGAAACAGGATTGTGAGATCCAAACAGAGCTTGGCAAACTGCCCACGGGCCCAGCCCCGCCGGCCGCCTGTTTTTATAAATGAAGTTTTGCTGGAACACAGCCGCCCGCATCCGTTTATGAATCGTCTGTGGCGGTCTCTGAGCTACCACAGCAGAGCTGAGGAGTTGTGACAGAGACCATCTGCCTTGTGAGGACTCAAACAGTCACGAGCTGGCCTTTACAGGATAAGCCTGCCGACCCCTGACCTAAATCATACACGATGACATCACAAACGATTTAAAGTTTGGAAATTAACATAGGCAAACAGAAAACCGGGTTAAAAGTTAACGTAGGAAATGCATTACCCCGGATGGTATCAAAGGCCAAAACCTTCATTCATGAATGATCTCTAAGTTCCTAAGGAAGACAGATATTTGGAAGAAAGAAAGATGCTTCATTTTTGGAAGCAGAAAAGTAAGAGAGGAACACATATGCCCATCGTCTTAGTTCCAGCAAGGCAATCATGCCTCTATTCCCTACAGCTACTGTCAGAGATGAACTACTAGACTGGAAGAAGTATGGGTCTGACTTAGAATGACCTTGGGTCTTACAGCAACTGACCTCTGCCCAGCGCTATTCCTCCTAAGGGAAAAGGATGGCCCTCCTTTGACAGCCTGCTGAAAATGGCCCACAGCTAAGGTTGATGCACTTGAAATTTTCTGTCCTTCTCATAAGTCAAAGTAATGAGTGCTTCTGGAACCACCACCACCTCCAAACAGGACATGATACAAAAAAAGCCCTGAGCATGTTGGCCACCTTGAAGGCAGGGAAAGAGGAAAATTCTTTAACATCCACTTTCCATTCTCAAGGCATCCATTATTCTGTTGGCAAGAGAATGACCTCACTGACGAGCTGTTTTATTTCCCTGCCTCTGAGCAGCGCTCACTTGTCTGAGACCAGGCCTGGACTGAGGGATGCCGCGATTTGCCATCAGGTGTGGTTTATGGCTGGCTTCTCTACTCTCTGTATCTGGGAGACAAAAACAAGCTGCAGCCCACGAAGCCGAGGAGCTGTGGGTGGCAGTTTGAGAACATCTGGAAGAGGAAGGGGTTTTTGCAATACACAAGTTGCGTTGATCATTCCAAGCACAGGAAAAAAAAAAGTTTGGCTATCCTTGCTCAAAGGGATTCTTTGTGTTGCAAAAATCTGTTCACCTGTTCACCTCTGCGCCAGTAACAATTAGATCTGGCCAAATGAGTTTTAGTTATACGTTGAGTATTCCTGATGATTAATAAAGTTAATTGCAGGGCACCTGGGTGGCTCAGTTGGTTAGGCGACTGCCTTCGGCTCAGGTCATGATCCCGGAGTCCCTGGATAGAGTCCTGCATCGGGCTCCCTGCTCGGCGGGGAGTCTGCTTCTCCCGCTGACCCTCCCCCCTCTCATGCTCTCTCTATCTCATTCTCTCTCAAATAAATGAATAAAATCTTTAAAAATAAATAAATAAATAAATAAATAAATAAATAAATAAATAAAGTTAATTGCAGGACCTGGCTAACTTAAGAAGGCCGAATTTTAATTATATATCTATGAGACTTTTAGGTAGGTGTCTGGCTACAACCAACTCTTATCTGGTTTTCACAATGTTTTTTTTATCATTCAGGTAAAATCTACAAAAATAAAAATTACCGATGGAGAGCTCATTACAATCTTTAATCCACATAACATCACTCCACCCAAGGAGGATTTAGTATGCTTTAAAATGGACTAGAACACACTAAACCTATGTGGTAAAAATGTACTATCTTTCCAAGCCCCCCAAAGATATCTTAGTAACAGCTCCTTACCTTTGATGGAGGGTTTGGCAATGACGCTGAAGGTTTCGGAAGCCTATGGAATAAAAAATAAGAATCACAGTTATGGTTTTTCATAGACAAGCAAACAGAGAGACTGGGCCAACTGAGGACTTAGCAAGTGCTACTTTCATGGACTAGCTTCTCCTCCATGTGTCCTCCTGGACTATCACCTCAGTGTAAAGAATGACATTTCTCAAAATGAAGAAATCTACATTTTGTTCACATTGGAATTGTCTGAACTAAAAAGTAAATTAGAACTTATTTGTTGCAATGGAACTGCTTTTCTTCAGCCTCTATAAATTTACATTTTGGCGTTGTAGTATTTTTTCCTTCATAAATGACGAATCCAGCATATATTTTTTTTTAATTTAAATACAATTTAGTTAACATAGAGTGGAATCCAGCATATATTTAAAAGTGAAAATTATTTTAACTGTTGACAAAAAGTCAGACAAGCTTGACTTTTCTTCAATTAAAGAGAAGTTTAAATGACATATCTTCCTTTGGGAACCTTTAACCAAAAGCTAATCACTTCTGAGGAGAAAAGATTCTAAAAAATAATGGGAGTACAAAGACATAGGTCTCGAATGAGACAAACAGGCACTGAGAAACCCAGGGAAATATTGAACAAAAAGATAGGGTTATCAATTTCCACCAGTTTCCACTAATTGTTTTTTAAAGTAAGACCTATGCAATTTGCTAAAAACAGCAACTATGTATCTCTTAAGAAGTCACTTTATCTTCATGTATCAGAGGAGAAAGCTATTATAAGAATCTGGAAAAGCTATTATCACACCCATAAAATCTTAAGAATAGTTGCTAAAATCTAGAAAAGAAACACATTCTTTTCAGCCTAAGGTAAAGTCTTTATATTATATTAAATATCTTTATGAAGGATATAATAACACAGAGCAAATCATTCTTAAACTCATTTTCTACCCTCAGACACAGATTGTGTTTCATCCTTTGAGTTCCAAGTGCTGGGCATAATAAAGGTACTTGGCAAACATCTAATGACAGTGAAAATGGTACAAAACCTTTAAATGTAACTTTCAAAAATATTCTAGGGGTGCCTGGGTGGCTCAGTCATTTAAGTGTCTGCCTTTGGCTCTGGTCATGATCCCAGGGTCCTGGGATTGAGTCCCTCATTGGGATCCTTGCTCAGCGGGGAGTCTGCTTCTCCCTCTCCTTCTATCCCTTCCCTCCACCTCCCCCATTCCCCACTCTTGCTCTCTCTCTCTCTCAAATTAAAAAAAAAAAAAAAAATCTTTAAAAAAATATTCTACATTCCATCTCTTGTTTCTTCTAATCTTTATTTCTCCTAAAATGATCTTCACATTAGTGAAGTCTAACTGGAGATAAAATAGTATAATGTTAACACTCTAAAATCATACCAACTCATAATTCCAGTCCTAATACTCATCAGTTTCTGCAATCAGTATCCACCAAATCAATTTGTTCCAATAAATAAGTGTCTATTAAAAATCACCTTCAAACCATAGTCTAGGAGGTAACTCAAGAATAATTTATCAGAAACAGTGATGTGATAAAGTCATTAAGGAACCTATTGCTGGGAAACCAAGAAGCACCAAGGTACTTTCTAATTGTGACTAAAGATGAACGATACTTACTTTAAATATTTTGATAAGTCATCACTTAATTCTTTAGGGATATAATCAGATATCAGACCATGTGCATAACGAATATAATCCTCTGAAAGAAATAGAATGGAGAGTATAAGGAAAAAAAAATTAGTAACAGCTATGGTAGTTTTACAGTCAAACTGACCAGAGTTAAAATTCCGGCCTTATCTGGCCTTAGAGACTCACTTAAGCTCTTAGCCTCCATTTCCTCCTTTGTAAAATGGGGATGCTAATATCTCTGGTTAGAGCAGTGAGCTTTATGTCATGGATGAGATATGACAGGGTGATATCGAAGAGATAAGATGACAGAATACAGCAGATGCCCACCAAATGATAGTTAAAACAAAAATTCAGGGTCTTTTTCTTAGTTGAGGCCTTTGAATACAAATAAAGCTCAAAATCAGCTGTAACGACATGACATATTCATGCCTTTTAAAGACTAATCTTTTCTAGGTGTTTCCATATAGAATAAATATAATTAATGAATAGTAATGAATATATTCATTTAAGAGACGTAATATATGATATGTCTCTGTCAAGTACTTGCTTTATAAGAGTCCTGAACATTATATATACTCTCAAACTAATAAAAATGCCTTCAGAAATGTAAAAAACTAAGCTCGGTAGAAGGTATAATCATTAATTCTAAAGCATGTGGACACTCAGTACTAAAATGAAGCCTCAGTATCAATGAGATGCAGTTATATAAGTCAAAATCTGTTGTTTTTTTTTTTTTTTAAGATTTTATTTATTTATTTGACACACAGAGAGAAAGCACAAGTAGGCAGAGAGGCAGGCAGAGAGAGAGAGGCAGAAGCAGGCTCTCCACTGAGCAGGGAGCCCGATGCGGGACTCGATCCCGGGACTCCAGGATCATGACCTGAGCCGAAGGCAGTCACTTAACCAATTGAGCCACCCAGGCGCCCTCAAAATCTGTTTTAAAGCCTTGTTTTTTAATTCAGTATTTTATGTAGAATACTAGTGGATAATCAAACTTAACATATGGGATAATCATACGGGGATATAAACTACCAAAAGCACTATCTCAGGTTTGTTGCTGGGATATTCATTTGCTTCTTTTTTTCTTTCTCTTCTGCCTCCAAACTAAGATAATAATTTGCCTAAGCATTAAAGTGACTGCTTCCTGGAGCACAAAATCTCAAAGTCTTCAGTGAGAGATTTACACTACCAACGTAGAACTGAAAGTTATCAACGGGCCCTTCTTAAAATGTGTTCTTGGTTCTAGGTTAGTAATTATCCAATAAGTCATGAATAGACAAAGGGAACTAAGAAAGCCAACACATTATTCGTTTGCCTCTTCTGGTAGCTTCCTGAACTAAAGATCTAAAAAAAAGGAAAGCTTACTTTATCACTAGGCCCTACATGGCAATATAGCCGTGTCCAGACCCTTATATTTAGAGACTGGTACAAACACTGGATTCAGAGCGGAAGACGTGGCCTAGCTAGGATGGGTGACCTTGGATAACTCATCTACTCTCTGAGACCACAGTTCTTCACTTTTAAAATGAGATCTGTCTAAATAATCTCTAACATCCCTTTACCTTCTTTAAAAAAAAAAAAAAATCTATGGTCCATCCATCCACTCCTTCTCTTTTGTTAAAGCCAGTAAAAAACCGTGAGAGCTGGTAAACTCAGTGTGGCCAAAGCTGTCCACTATTTCCAGAATGGCAGGAGTCCTCTACCATCTACATGTGCAAGGTGTTTTAAGGTAGATTTCTGCAAATCAAAGACTGCCTGAATTACCTTCAATCACAAACAGACTCCTGGTCCTAGTTTTATTTGTTTTAATGATGAAACTCAGATGCTTTGGAATTGTATGCCCACAACACGGGAACACTGAATTGGAGCTTAAAGTCAAAAAAGTTTCTGTCCCACCATTTGGGAATGTTAATTGCATTATATAGCTGTTTTTATTCAACTATACATAAAAAAATAAGAGGACACTACACTGGAAAAAAACAAAAGAATGTACCATAATAACCTAAAAGAAAAAAAATTGCCAAGGGAATCAATTTTCATCTAAAATCAAAACATTAAGACCGATAGTAGGACATACACTTCTTGAGAATAAGATGCAGAGAGGTGCAGCCCATTGGAAACCCAGGGCCATACAAACAGTAGGACAAAAAAAGTAAGAGTGTGGGCTTCAGAGTCAGGCAAGCTCCATCAGTAGCTCAGCTTCACCATTCACTCACTGTGGAACTTTGGGCGCAGCCTCCAGACTCTCACTGTCAAATAAGACTTATAGGGAGGGTCATCGGAGATACTGTATCCACAGGCAACTCAAGCAAAGGGCTTGACACACAACACACCCTCCATAAATGATAGCCAGAGTTGTTAGGCTGGTTATGACCATTAGTGCAAAATAAGTATGTGTCAAAGGCACGATCTAAGTATCAATTAGTGACAGAAATGATCTATGGTAGAAATCTTACTGGGTTCTGAAATAAAATGCACATGTGCCACAAGATCCAAGAGAACACATGGGCAAGAATGAGAAGCTTCTGAGACACTAAGATTGTAAAATCGGGGATGCCTGGGTGGCTCATTGGGTTAAGTGTCTGCCTGCAGCTCAGGTCTTGACCTCAGGGTCCTGGGATTGAGCCCCGTGTGGGCTCCCCGCTCAGCAGGGAGTCTGCTTGTCCCTCTCTCTCTCCCCCTCCTCCCCGCCCCCATACTCGTTCACTCGCTCTCTCTCCTCTCTCTCAAGTAATAAATAAAACCTTAAAAAAAAAGATTTTAAAATGGTAAGACAGGCATTTATACATCAGCAACTTACTCCAGGCAAAAATGATTTCTGACAAAATGATTTATTCACCTTCCTTGTCACTGGAAACCTGGTCACCAGAGAAAAATGCAGTTGCCTGTACCCGGCCACCGACATTTACGTTACTGCTTTTTAAGGCTGATACAGTCTGATGAACCTGTGAAGTAACCAAAAAGGGAACATCAGGGTATTTCCAACTAATGTTAGAAATCCACCACCTTCCAGATGCTTCTCAATCCATTTAAGATGCAGGAAGGAGCATCTGAGGATCTAGAAATGTCTTCACCAGGTATCAGATGATGAGAGATGGCCACAGCATTTTGGGATGATGTCATGACATGGACTTCTTAAGGCCTACACAATATGAGAACACCGGCTCTGGAGTTGGGCTGCTTGGGTATGCTCTGTGACCATGGACTACTTACTTAACCTCTCTGTGCCTCTATCTAATGGGGACATGAGTAGTACCTAATGCATAGTACAGCTGTGAGGATTAAATGAGTTCATGTAAAGCCCTTAGAACAGAACCTGGCACAAAGTTTATATGCAATCATTTTTCTAAACAGAATAAATCAGAAATTTCCTACTTCCGAGATGCTGGAGGAGCAAGACGGCAGAGGAGTAGGAGACCTGGATTTCATCTGGTCCCAGGAATTCAGCTGGATAAGGATCAAACCATTCTGAACACCTACAAACTCAACAGGAGATTGAAGAAAAGAATAGCGGCAACTCTCTGAACAGAAAAGCGACCACTTTCTGGAAGGTAGGACGTGCGGAGAAGTGAATCCGAGGTGATATTCGGGAGGATAGATGGCGGGGGAGGGGGCCTCCGATGCTGCTTCTGGCAAGTGATAGAGCAGCGGAGCACAAAATCGGAACTTTTAGAAGTCGGCTCCACTGAGGGAAGTCGCACCAGTGGCTAAGTGGCAGGTGGAACCCTCACTGGGACAGTGTGGTCTCAGGACCCTCGGGGTCACAGAAAGACTGGGGGTGCCTGAGTGCAGCAGAGCTCCCAGGTATCAGAGCAGGGAAGCCGGTTGCAGAGACAGAGCCGAGGCCCGGGCTCTCAGCTCGGGGTTGCCATAAACTGTGATCCGTGGCACAGTCAGGCCACTGCTCCTCCAGCAGGGACCCAACAAGCGGCAGATCCGGGAAGACTCCCCTTCCTTCCCCAGGAGGAGCGGCTCGGGAGCGCACTGCAGGGATCTGCTGGGTTTGGAGACTCCGCATGGGGTCGGGTGCCAGAGAGAGAAACGCTGGGTCACAGGCCGGGTGAGCACGGAGTGCGGCCAGAGACCAGGGAGACGGGAGTGATTGCTTTTCTCTGGGGGCACACTGAGGAGTGGGGCCCCGAGTACTCGGCTCCTCTGGGGCAGAGATTGGGAGGCCGCCATTTTCACTCTCATCCTCCAAAGCTGAACAGAAAGCTTGCAGGGAACAAAAGCTCCCAAGAGCAAACCCGAGCAGATTACTTAGCCCAGACGGGGCAAGGGCGGGGCAATTCTGCCTCCGGCAAAGACATTTGGGAACCATGGCAACAGGCCCCTCCCCCAGAAGATCAGCAAGAACAGCCAGTCGAGACCAAGTTTACTGATCAATGAGAACGGCAGAACTCCAGCACTAGGGGAATACAGCACATAGAATTCATGGCTTTTTTCCCAAGATGCTTTAGTCTTTCAATTTTTTAAATTTTCTTTATTTTTTTCTTTTTCTATTTTTTTTGAATTTTTCTTTTTCCCTTTTCAACCAACATCGTATCAATCCCTTTTTTAAAAATCTTTTTTATTTCTCATTTTTAGAGTCATATTCTATCCCTTCATTGTAGTTAACCTTATTTTTTGTATATATATAAGTTGTTCTCGCTTTAAAATTTTGGGATACAGTTTCTTCTAACAGACCAAAATATACCCCAAATCTAGTGTATGGCTTTGTTCTAGTCTTCTGCTTGATCACATTCTCTCCTTTTTAAATTTTTCTTCTTTCTTTTTTCAAACAATTTCTTATCAATTCCTTTTATAAAATCTTTTATAATTTTCATCTTTACAGTCATATTCCATCCCTTCATCATATTTATCCTTATTTTTGTATATATGTAAGTTTTTCTTTCTTTAAGATTTTGGGAGGCAGTTTCTTCTAACAGACCAAAATACACCCAAAATCTAGTGTGTGGCTCTATTCACCAGCCTGATCATATTATTTTTTCTTCCTTTCTTTTCCCCCTGGTTGCGGGTCTCTTCTGATTTGTTTAGTGTATATTTTTCTGGGGTCGTTGTTACTCTTTAAGCATTTTGTTCTCTCATTCATCTATTCTTCTCTGGACAAAATGACAAAATGGAAAAACTCACCTCAAAGAAAAAGAACAAGAGGCAGTACCAACTGCCAGGGACCTAGTCAGTATGGACATTAGTAACATGTCAGAACTAGAATTCAGAATAATGGTTATAAAAATACTAGCTAGGCTTGAAAAAAGATACTAGAAGATACTGGAGAATTCCTTTCTGGAGAAATAAAAGAATTAAAATCTAACCAAGTTGAAATAAAAAAGGCTACTAATGAGGTACAATCAAAAAATGGAGGCTCTGATAGGATAAATGAGGCAGAAGAGAATTAGTGATATAGAAGACCAAATGATGGACAATAAAGAAGTTGAGAAAAAGAGAGATAAACAACTACTGGATCACGAGGGCAGAATTCGAGAGATAAGTGATACCATAAGATGAAACAATATTAGAATAATTGGGATCCCAGAAGAAGAAGAAAGAGAGAGAGGGGCAGAAGGTATATTGGAGCAAATTATAGCGGAGAACTTCCTTCATTTGGGGAAGGAAACAGGCATCAAAATCCAGGAGGCACAGAGAACCCCCCTCAAAATCAATAAAAATAGGTCAACACCCCGACATCTAATGGTAAAACTCATAACTCTCAGAGACAAAGAGAAAATCCTGAAAGCAGCTCAGGACAAGAGGTCTGTAACCTACAATGGTAGAAACATTAGATTGGCAGCAGACCTATCCACAGAGACCTGGCTGGCCAGAAAGGACTGGCATAATATATTCAGAACACTAAATGAGAAAAATAGGCAGCCAAGAATACTATATCCAGCTCGGCTGTCACTGAAAATAGGAGAGATAAAAAGCTTCCAGGACAAACAAAAGTAAAAGAATTTGTGAACACCAAACCAGCCCTACAAGAAATATTGAAAGGGGTCCTCTAAGCAAAGAGAGAGCTTAAAAGTAACAGACCAGAAAGGAACACAGACAATATACAGTAACAGTCTCCTTACAGGCAATACAATGGCACTAAATTCATATCTTTCAATAGTTACCCTGAATGTAAATGGGCTAAATGCCCCAATCAAAAGACACAGGGTATCAGTTTGGATAAAAAAAACAAGACCCATCGATATGCTGTCTTCAAGAGACTCATTTTAGACCCAAAGACACCTCCAGATTGAAAGTGAGGGGGTGGAAAGCCATTTACCATACTAATGGACATCAAAAGAAAGCTGGAGCGGCAGTCCTTATATCAGACAAATTAGATTTTAAACCAAAGACTATAATAAGAGATGAGGAAGGACACTATATCATACTTAAATTAGTCTATCCAACAAGAAGATCTAACAATTGTAAATATCTATGCCCCTAACATGGGAGCAGCTAATTATATAAACCAATCAATAACAAAAGCAAAGAAACACATTGACAACAACACAATAATAGTGGGGGACTTTAACACCCCCCTCACTGAAATGGACAGATCATCCAAGCAAAAGATCGACAAGGAAATAAAGGCTTTAAAAGACACACTAGACCGGATGGACTTCACAGATATATTCAGAACATTCCAACCCAAAGCAACAGAATACACATTCCTCTCTAGTGCCCATGGAACATTCTCCAGAATAGATCACATCCTGGGTCACAAATCAGTTCTCAACCGGTACCAAAAGACTGGGATCATTCCCTGCATATTTTCAGACCACAGTGCTTTGAAACTAGAACTCAGTCACAAGAGGAAGTTGGAAAGAACTCAAATACATGGAGGTTAAAGAGCATCCTACTAAAGAATGAATGGGTGAACCAGGAAATTAAAGAAGAATTAAAAAAATTCATGGAAACAAATGAAAATGAAAACACAATTGTTCAAAATCTTTGGGATGCAACAAAGGCGGTTCTAAGAGGAAAGCATATAGCAATACAAGCCTTTCTCAAGAAACAAGAAAGGTCTCAAATACACAACCTAACCCTACACCTAAAGGAGCTGGAGAAAGAACAGCAAAGAAAGCCTAAACCCAGTAGGAGAAGAGAAATAATAAAGATAAAAACTTTTACACAGCAAAGGAAAACAGTCAACAAAACCAAAAGACAACCGACTTAATGGGAGAAGAGATTTGCAAATGACGTATCAGATAAAGGGCTAGTATCCAAAATCTATAAAGAACTTACCAAACTCAACACCCAAAGAACAAATAATCCAATCAAGAAATGGGCAGAAAACATGAACAGACATTTCTGCAAAGAAGACATCCAAATGGCCAACAGACACATGAAAAGTGCTCAACATCACTAAAACCTCAATGAGATACCACCTCGTACCAGTCAGAATGGCTAAAATTAACAAGTCAGGAAATGACAGATGTTGGCGAGGATGTGGAGAAAGGGGAACACTCCTACACTGTTGGTGGGAATGCAAGCTGGTGCAGCCACTCTGGAAAACAGAGTGGAGGTTCCTCAAAAAGTTGAAAATAGAGCTACCCTATGACCTAGCAATTGCACTACTCGGTATTTACCCCAAAGATACAAATGTAGTGATCCGAAGGGGCACGTGCACCCTAATGTTTACAACAGCAATGTCCACAGTAGCCAAACTATGGAAAGAGCCTAGATGTCCATCAATAGATGAATGGATAAAGATGCGGTCTATATATATACAATGAAATATTATGCAGCCATCAAAAAAATGAAATCTTGCCATTTGCAATGACGTGGATGGAACTAGAGAGTATTATGCCAAGCGAAATAAGTCAGTCAGAGAAAGACAATTATCATATGATCTCACAGATATAAGGAATTTGAGAAACAAGGCAGAAGATCACAGGGGGAGGGAGGGAAAAATGAAACAAGATGAAACCAGAGAGGGAGACAAACCATAAGAGACTTAATCTCAGGAAACAAACTGAGGGTTGCTGGAGTGGAGGGGGGTGGGAGGGATGGGGTGGCTGGGTGATGGACATTAGGGAGGGTATACTGTGGTGAGCGCTGTGAATTGTGTAAGACTGATGAATCACAGACCTGTACCCCTGAAACAAATAATACATTATATGTTAATAAAAAAATTTCCCACTTCCTAGGAATTTAAGAAAAGAGACACAATCAATAAATATAAACGTCACTTTGCTATTCGTGACATTATCATTTGCTAAGGACAAAAACTAAATGCCAAGATCCTTCTCAGCACTTACCCTGATTCTTCACCTACTACTAAGGCAAATGAAGGGTGAACCACAGGGACACTTTTAAAATCCTTCCACTATTTTGTACAGTAGGGGCCTAACTCTGCAAGGTTCATTTCCATGTTTCTAGGTTCCCTGTGTGCCCCGTAACATGATATGACAAGCATGTTTTTACATACAAGACAGAGGAGAATCTTAGGAATCAGTACTATACTGGTATCCACTGACCTTGAAAAACTTTGTTATCAATAGACCCAGTCTGGTGAGATTCTTAATCAGTGTGTAAGTACACAATCTTAGACCAGTGGCTTTCAAAGTGGTTTGTTTGTTTGTTTCTACTATGCCCACAGTAAGAAATATATAGCAACCCAATACTTAAACACATATATAAATATATGTTTCAAACTTAATACTTGTCCTTACTCTCTGCTATATTTTAATATATCCCATCCCATCCCATCCCATCCCATCCCATCCCATCCCATCCCAATCCCATTCCATTCCATTCCAAGAGAAATACTGGTTTTGACCCACTAAATCAATTTGGAAAACACTGCCCTAGACTTTATATTATTTTAGGATTTTAGGATCACTAAGATCCCTCAGGCAACCAGAAGCTGAGAGTGAGACACGCTTCCTCTAAGCCTGAATCCTGTCTGCCTCAGCCCCCTGCCTTGCTATGTGATCAACGTCAACCTCTGAGACAACAGCAGGACTGAGAGCAGCAAATGTGCATCCCACCTGATACTACCTGGCGTGGAAGACTCAAATCTACATCACCAAGTAGTGAGAACTTCTTTTGTCCAGTGGTGAGGATCACGGGCAATGGGGATGCAGGTCAAAGGAAAACATCAAGCTAACTCCAGAGACACATGAGTTAGGGAGGATGAAAAGTAAAAGATTTCTTTTCATATTTGGATATCTTTACAGTTTTTCTCCTTTAGCTGGATATACAAGATGGCCTTTGGATTCAGACTTAGCACCTTCTCTAAACAGTTTTTAAAAGGAGCATTAAAACTTTTTCTGCCATAAGGTATTGGAGATGTACTATACCTTTTTTTCCAGCCACTTTATTGTCTTCTCCTTGCTGTACTTGTAATATTTCTTTTTGTCTATTTCTGGATTAAAGAGAAAAAAACAGAAGAGTGTATTAAACAAAAAATAAATTCATGATATGTATATATACATATAGAATATCAACAACAATTAATGTTTCATAGCAGTTTATATTCTTGAAAAACTCAATTTATAAGCCTGAGAGCATATTTGAGAGGTTAAAAAAAAAAATCCCCAAACAGAACTTGGGTGCCTCAGGTTTCATCCAAAAATTAAATGAATGGGAATTTAAGGAAATCATCAAATTTTACTAAGTTATCATCCCAAGGAGAAATTATTTTTCTTTTCCTTTTATTACATCTATATGAGATGACAGATGTTAACTAAACTTATTGTGGTGATCATTTCATAATACCTGTGAGTCAAACCATCATACCATACACCTTAAACTTAGACAATGATGTGTATTAATTACTTCTTAATAAAACTGGAAATAAGTACACAAACAAGTCTGTAGAAAATCTGTAATTTTTAAAACTCAGCAAATTAACATGCCAAGCAACCTTCATTTTTTTTGAAATAATCTGAAGCTTAGCTCAGTGTTTTCAATGAGAGACTTCTTTTCTAAAATAAGAATGGAAATCCCAAGAAAGGAAACTGAAACTAAACACAGATGCGTATGAAGTGCACTGCAGGCATTGAGGGAAAAAACCTTGTTAACTACGTGGTACTGTCCTGGTGGGATTAGCGAGAAAGAAGAAAAGATATGCCTATCTTTGAACGCATTACCAGTATAACCGTAACTATATCTCAGGGGAATTTGGATTTACGACAGGCTTGACCTGGCCCTTAATGGGGATAAAACTTTCACCTCTTCTAAGTTATACTTCCTCCCCTCACAGTCCACCTAGCTTTACATACTGTGACACGAGGCGTTATTTCCTTGGTAACACTTCATTCATGGAGTTTTTTGCTTTCTATGCAATCGGCAGAGGCAGAGGCTTGCGGCTCCCAGCCTCCTGCCTCATGCAGGAGTGATCTTTGAGATCCCCGGAAATCTTAGGGCCAGATGCAAACTCCCCCCGTGTGACTTTGCTACCCGGATAGAATGACATTTTCTCTTTCCTCCATAATCTTTGTGGGAAATGGAAATGTATCTTCAAGCCTGTGTACGTTCTTTATATACATCTCTCACTGATGTTCAGAATGAATCTCAGGTGAAAACCACTGTTTGTCCCCACCTTAAACGACTGGGTTAGAGTGAAGTGAACTACATTGTCCAAAGTCACTGAGCCATTAAGCAGGGTACCAGACTCCTACTAGGCTAACTTCAGAGCTGCGGATCTGATGTTCATTTTATCAAGATCCATTAGGTCTTCACCCTTCTCAGTACTTTTGACCCTGTTCTTTGTGGGAAAAACTTCTCCTCCATGATTCTACAAAAACTTTTCCTCTTGGTTCTTTTAGGTCTCTGGTGACTTTTCCTCTGATTCTTTTTGGGCTCTGCTTCATCCTGCTCTGAGGCCAGGTGTACCCTTCTCTGGGGGTGAGTTCATTTTGTTTCAAGAAGACCAAATAACCCCAATCAGGAAGCCCAAAGCCCTGAGCTGAGGCTCTGTGCCTAAAGACAGACTGTTCATCTTCCTCCCAAACCATCCTCCCGGTCAACCAGGCTCGGATCTCAAAGCCATCACTTCCTCCTGCCTTGCTTTCCACATTCTATCACTGGATTCCAGCGTTACCTGGTGGAGGCCGTGGGGGAGGAAAAAACAAAACAAAATGAACAAACAAACAAACAAATGCCATGTCAGAAATGAGGAGGCTTAGCTTCTCATGGATCAGTAACTACTTCCATTTTTTTTTAAATCACCTTTATTTAGAAATAATGTTCATATGGTTAATATCCCCATTTTAAGTGTACAATTTGAGGAGTTTGAACAAATGTATACATACGGTCATGTAACTATCACCCTAAACATAAAGGCTGCTCTGAACATTCTTGCACAAGTCTTTGCATGGAGATGTGTTTTCATAAGTCTTGGGTAAATGCCTAGGAGTAGAATTACTGAGTCTTAAGAAACTGTCAAGTGGTTATACTATTTTATGCTTCCACCAGCCAGGTAGGTGAGTTCCGGTAGTTCCTCAACTTATTGTTTTTCCTTTTTATTTCAAGCCACTCTAGTGAATACTAATGATATTTTCCTGTGGTTTTAATTTACATTTCCCTGGTGACTAATGATATTGAACCTGTTTTCGTGTGCCTATGGGCTATTTATAAATCTTCTGTTGCTAAGTGTCTGTTCAAACTTTGTGCCGATTTTTTTTTACTGGGTTGTATGTATATCATCTTATTACTGTGTTAAGAAAACTCTATATATTTGAGATACATATCTTTTATCAGATAGACCATGTAAACATTTTCTTCCAACTGTGGTTTATCTTTTCTTTTTTCTTAATGGTGTCTTTCAAAAAACAGAAGATACTAATTTTGATGAAATGTAATTTATGGTTACATTTATAATTTTTTTTTTTATGGCTAGTGGATTTTATGTCCTAAGAAATCCTTGCCTATCCCCAAGGTCACAAAAGTTTTCTCTTATGTTTTCTTTTAGAAGTTCAGTAGTTTCCATTTCTGCATGTAAATTAGTGATCCATTTTGAGTTAATTTTTTCTGTATGACTGTGAGGTGAGGGTTAACATTGTTTTTCATATGAATATCCAATTTTTCCAGATCATTTGTTGAAAAGACTATCTTTTCTCCCACTGAATTATCTTGACACTATGGAAAAAATTCAATTGACTATATAAGTGTGGGTCCACTTCTGGATTCTCTATTCTGTTCCCTTATCTATATATTTATCCTCATACCAATGCCACACTTTCTTGATTACTATAGCTCTAGAGTAAGTCTTGAAAGCGGATTGTGTAAGTTCTCCAACTTTGTTCTTCTTTTTCAAAATTGTTCTGGTTATTGCAGGTCTTTTGCAAATTCATATTAATTCTAGAATCAGCTCATCATTTTCTTCCCCCCACTCCCTCCAAAAAAGTCTGATAGACATTACATTAAATCTATAGATCAGTTTGGAGAGAATGGACATCTTAACAATACTGAATCTTCAAATTCATGAACATGGTACATCTATTTACTTAATTCTTTAATTTCTCAGCAATGTTTTGTAAAATCCAGTGTACTGGTCTTGCACATACTGTGTTATATTTATTTCTAGGACTTCATGATCTTTGATGATATTCTGAATATGTTTTTATTCCATTGCCCAATTGTTCACTGCTAGTATACAGAAATATAATTCATTTTTTATAAATTGACTTTTTATCCTGTTTATTAGTTATAGTAATTATTTTTTTGTAGACTCATTTGGGCTTTCTACATACATGTCCATATTGTTTATGAATAGAGATAGTTTCACTATTTCCTTTCCAATCTATATACCATTTATCTTTTTCTTGTTTTATTGAAACTGTTAGGACTCCCACTACAATGGTGAATAGAAGTGGTCAAAGCAGACATGCTTACCTTATACCCAATCATAGGGGAAAACTGTTCAGTCTTTTACAGTGAAGTATGATGTTAGCTTAGGTTTGTCATAGACACCCTTTTCCAGACTAAGGAAGCTCCCTTCTATTCTAATTTGCTGAGAATTTATATTATGACTGAATTTTGTCAAATGATTTTTCTGCATCTATTGGGATCGTCATGCAGTTTTTCTTTTGTCATGTGTAAATATGGTGAATTATGCAGATTGATTTTCTAATGTTCAACCAACTTTGCATTCCTGAGATAAATCCCACTTGGTTATAATATGTTATCCTTTTTACATATTTGATTTGCTAATATTTTATTAGGAATTTTTTAGTCTATGATCATAAGGGATATTGGCCTGGTTTTCTTTTTAAAATAATTTTGACTTTGGTATTGGGATAATTCTGCCTTCATAAAATTAGTTGGGAAATATTCCTTCCTCATCTAATTTCTGAAAGGATTTGAGTAAGTATCATTATTTGAGTATTATTTCTTTCTTAAAGTATGGCAGAATTCATCAGTGATGCTAACTGGGCCTGGAGGTTTTTTCTTAGGAAATTTTTAACTATCAATTTATTTCTAATTGAACAGTCCCTGGACAAGATGATCACTAAGAAATATCCAACTCGGATATCCCAGAATGCTACAAAAGGACCAAATGCATGAGCTACTGCTTAATTTTGAAATTTACAAATTTTGATAAGTAAGGGGGTTCAAAATATTCATGAAGGCCACAGATTACCCAAAATTATGACAAATACCATAACATGTCTGTTCGTGTCTTAAATTTAATATTTGCAAGAGTTGGTGAGTTAGACAATATGTACATATGCTGGAAAGGTTTCTTTCCTTAATGTGTCTGGTGCCTATAAAACTGGTCTCAAACATCTGGAAAGATTGGGTTTACAAAATAAAGATGGAATAAAAGTGACTCCACAATTAAATAACATGTTCAGCAATTGGGTAATCGGCTCACAATCCTGAATCTCCCTGATGTATTATTGAACAAACTGCCTAGAGCACATTTTCACATCTACTTTCTCAATGTTTTCCATAACAGAAACTCATATGGTCTCTTTTTTTTTCCTGCCTCCTGGGGATAGAAACTTGGCAACTGTACTTGGGGTATTTTAATCAGGTAAGTTTTCCCGGCTCTTCCTGTTAATCACATCGGACAGCCTAGTGCAGCTTTGGCTTGCAATATGAAACAGTGTTACACTCAAGATGAAGTTCATAACCCTTTATTAGGCCTTTCCCCTGTCATCCCTCCACTGAATGTGAGCTTCTTTGGCAAGAAACATACTGAGCCCCAGGGCTAGCAAACACAGACACATCATTTCCTTCACTAATAAAGCAGGCAGTGCTAACTAAGGTCACGGTCATCGTCATTTGGGATACAAACAATCGTGGCTGGGTTTACTCAGCAGGGATGAGGTGGGTAGGGGGAGGTTCTCATAAACCTAGCAGGCTTAACCAGATCTTTAATGCCACAGACTTTTGAGACAGCATCTGGAGTTTAATATCAAACCAGCTGGCTGGGGAATCTGAGTATTTCAGGGTTTGCTCTATCTGCAGAGTGCCTATGGAGAGAATGGACGTTAAAGACAATCAGCTCTCTCCTTTATCTTTGCTCCCTCTCATGGATACCACCTGACCACTCCTTAGCAGTCCTCTTTGTTTAATTTGAAAATCCTAGCAATAAAATATGGAGCGGAACCAAACAGTAACTTATAAATGGACAGTAAGCTAAATTTGAATAGGCAGCTGGGACCCAAGGCAATCGCTAAAAGAGGGGAATGGGTGCCTGAGAACAGAAAGCTCACTGCTGGGATGAGAAACTTGTCTTTTCCTTACGTTATTGTAGTTCTCTGTCTTCTTTCCTGACTCTCTCTTTTTGCCTCACAAAGGGAAATTATGAAGATGGGATATACAAGATTTTTTTAAAAAATAAGTTTCTATCTTTGCATGAGATACCACCTAACAATTCTACCCAAGTCTTCTGGAAGTGTTACACAGTTGCAAGAAGGAGAGGAAAGAGTGGTTGTCAGACAAGGGTTCCAATTCTGGTTCCCCACTTCTACTTCTGTGATGCTAGTCCAGTAACTTCACCTCTTTGAGCCTCGGTCTCCTCATTTGTAAAAATGTAGGTTGTAACAATAACAAGAGGGAATTACTGTAAGGATACAATAACGTATGTAAAATACAGATGATACATAATTTCTCATTAGATAGTAGATATTTTTATTATTACCTGATTATCCCCATTTCTACTTAAACCACTTCAATATATATTTAGCAATGGACCATCAAACAGATGCATGCGGGTGTGCCCAGTACTTACACATCAACAAAGAATTAATAATTTCTAATTCAGAAGCCTTAATAGTACTAACATTTACTGAGCATTTACTATATATCCAGTACTCTTTGGGCATTGATTTACTTGTATTACATCATTTAATTCCAGAAGCATCTCTTTATGGTAGACACCAGAGACTCTTAGCTGCAATATTTAAATAATGTTCACATCCCGGTCATTCAATAATCTCAACACTATAAAGGTGAGAAAATAAAAGCTTTATTTTTTGATCTAGAACAATTTTGCAAAGTACTAACTATAATGTATGGGGGATACTCTCAACCCTTCAAACTCTTCATCTTACAGACCAAGGATGCTGAAAATCTGATTTCTTCAAAACTATACGGCAAATATACTTTTAATTTTCCTTGCATGCCATCAGATGCTGAGATCAGATTACCAGACTGTTCTTAAAGAAATTCTTTCCCAAAAAAGATATGAAGCAAATATAATGAAATATAAACCTTTGTTGATTATTGGGTCGAGTGCAAATAATATTTGCAGTTTTTTATCTGAATTTTTTGTATCTTTAATTTTCTTAACTAAAATAATTGTTTTATTGGCCCATGTACTTTTATTTTCAAAGCAGATATGTTATCAGCCTATATACATTCCAGGTTTCTAAACACTCTTAGCCTCAAATTTTTCTTTCTTTCTTTTTTAATGATGGTAAGGCAAAACATAAAGTGATAATTCAGATTAAATTTCATATAGTAAAAGATGTATGCAATTTTCTCTAAAAGTCTTGACAGTTTCTTCATAATTAAATTCTTCCCCTAATAAATGACACTCTGTAAATCTTAAAATAATGAAAGGTTTAAAAACAAAACCAAAAATTTTAAAAACAAGGAAAAAAAAGAAATTGTAGGATCTCTTCTATCTCTTAAGTATGCTTCACCCTCAAAAAGACCTCTTTATCAAAATGCACATAAACAATCTCACATTACTTGCCTTACCCCTTAACCCAGAGCACAAATATGTGAAATATTTTCTTTATGTCAGTTCTGTATGCAAGGACAGCATACTGAGATAGACATCTTTTCCCATGAAGATCCAAAGGGAAATTCATAGTATTTTGAAGTTTATTTAGAGCTGGTCAAACAAGATAAGTGCAGGCCATGCACTTTCTATTTCAGCAGAACTTCCAACTGTTAAGCCATGTTGAGGAGTGACAGAGATTAGGACAGGAGTTCAGATAATGATTTAATCAATGGTCAGGGGTTCCGTGTGAAAGAGGGAAGGAATGAGAGGGAGGGAAGTTCTTGCTTTGAACTGCAGGCTGGTTTGTTAGGTTTGTTAGGCTAAGCTAACAAATGCCAGCGTATTAACACCATTTCTCAATCTGGGTTTCTGGGTTTGGGTTAAGATAACTGTTCTTTGTACAGCTCATGTAAGCATTTGGGATAATGAATTCATTGCATTTTCAGTTTACGTTAGCTGGGCAAAATTAAAATGACTTGTACTTATTCCTCATTATTTAAGCTTTCAAAAATGGCTATGAGCTACTTCATTTGTTCACCCACAAAAAGACTGTTATCCCCTCCAAGCTCAGCATCAGGGAATGTCTTTGAGAGAGCTTGTTTGGAGGTTCTAGCAGGGGAGTGCAGCTACTCGTATACCCTTGACCCAAGAACGGTCCTCCTCTATCGGGGAAGGTCGTCCTCTTCGACCGAGCGCGCAGCTTCGGGAGGGACGCACATGGAGCGGTGAGGGAGGAAGGGGACACCCGCCTAGCCAGCCAGATCAGCCGAATCAACCCTGGCGATCAATGGGGTGACAGATGTCGCAGCCAGATCGCCCTCACATCCAGGGAATGTCTTTAATGGGACTGTTTTGATAAAACCTTGGTGCCACATTCCATATCCAAAATGAAGCTCTAAGCCTGGCCAAGGGTGAATTTAGTTGAACCTAAAATGTAAAATGCAGTCAGTGAGGTTCTCCCCTTTCCCACTGTAAGCTTACACTTCTTGGAACGACCACTTTCTTGGGCTCAGAACTGTCACGGTTGCCAAACCGACCATGAACAACCACAGCTCATCAGCCTGTTGTTTTGGTTCCCATACTCCATGTCCATATTAACCCTGAAACTACCTGGATGACTTTTTGGAGACACAGATGCTAAGTTTGTATAGTGTTTCTAACTTAACAAGACATACTTACATACACTGCCTCACTTCCTTCTCTCAGAATTCAAATGAATAGTATCTACTACTCCTCTCTTCAGTACCCGCAGCCTGCTCTTCCCACCTGTGTCTCCAGGAGGCCACCCCCACTGCGGGTCAGGGCACAACTCAACAGTCATCCTTGACTCCTCCTCCTTCTTGACTACCACCCAACCCCGAATGGGGCTGGTTCTACCTCTCGGGGCTACTTTCTGCTAGTTCCAGGTGCTAAGCTCAGACTACCATCATTCCTGCCTAGACCACTGCAGCAGCCTCTGTGGACCCGGCCTTAGATTCTCCAATAGGTTTTTCACATTATAGCTCTTCCCTGCTCAAACTCTGCTGACACTCCACTACCATTAGACAAAGTCAGACACACATCAGGCCCTTCATCATCTGAACCCTTGCCCTGCATTCCCACCCCTTTCCTTCCTTACCAACCTAAATGCATCCCTGGCATCCTATACTCTGGCTAACCTGAACTCCTTAGAGCTTCCTATACAGGATGAACTTTCCCATATATCCTTGCCTCTGTTATGCTGCTACTCTGACTTATCCTTCAGGGCTCCACTTAGAGGTCATTTCACCCAGGAGAGCAACACCATAGCCAACTACATGCACTCCCCACCGGCGAGGTTATAAACCGGTCCTGTGCATCCCCAGAAAACCAGGAGTTCACTTCTGTTACTTTCTGCTGTCATTGCCCTATTTGCATTTGTCCCCTATAGACTCAAAGCTTACTGAGGGAAAGGATAATGTCTTATTTATAATTAGTTTAACTCTAGTGCTCAACATATGCTTCTTAGTAGACACTCAATAAACACTTCTTGACTCAATGAAGGTATAGGCTTTATGTAATTTTACAATGAGAAATCTGAGGTAGAAAGCAGTCGAGGAACTTAACTGAAGTTACATACTTAGTTCAAAGAAGAGCTGAGACCAAAGCCCAAGCCTCATGATCCCTGGCCTTGTGGGAGATAGGCCACTGTATTCCACTGGTTAGAACTTCTAAGACTGAACAGTCCAATGCAATAGAGGACTAGCACTGATGAGTGGAAGCAAGTCTGAATGACAGCTTCCCTTCCGACTGGCATAGAACAAGCCTTCCATTCAGTGGGGCAGGTGCCCAGCCTTTCCAGCAGCCATAAGCTTGATTTAAAAGGCCACATACTCTACCTTTTTCCTCTGTCACATGTCGAAGTAACTTCTCAAGATCAGGAAGTTTCAGCAACAAGATGCAATTTGGAAACATGTCATCCACCACAACTTGCTCTAGGGGCTGGAACTTTCCCTGAAAGAAGACTTCAGTCAGAATGCAAGCACTCCAGTCAGCAAACTCATACATTATAAAAAAGAAAAAGATACATCATCTCATAGCTGGATCTTTAAACTAAGTTCAAAGCCACTTGTCTCACCTAAGGAACCTCTCAACTGGGATAGGCTCCAGAACTGACTCTCAGCTCCCTCTAGGAAGCTCTTGAAAGCACTGGGGTTCCAAACAGTGTACCACCCATATCAAAAGTACAGTCACGGGTGCGGGGGGAGTTCTGGAAGAGCGCTAGAAGCCATAGAAGCTTGTGGAGATGGTAGAGATTGCATTGGGCTGGTCCAACCCATTCAGTGTGTGGGAAAGGATATAAAGCTGACGTCACAGAGCAGGAGTCCTGACCATCACTTAGGAATAAGCCCAGATCACACACAGAGCAAACAGCTTCCCTCCCTATCCTTACCCCAGGGCTGAAGGAAGAAATACTACAGCAAGGAGAAAATTACCAAAATGAATCTGCTCCTGCCAGAGCTGTCTGACAATGCTTCCAAATGTAGACCATGATAAAATAAAAGATAGCCAGAGGGATAAGTACAAGGAAGCTGCACACATATTAAATCAGGCTCATCTACAGAGGTGTGTAAGGCCTGGAAACCAATGGGCCAGAATTCAGAACACAGGAATTCAGAACATTCTTCTTCTCAATCAGGTTATTTTTACTTAATTGTGCAGGAGCATGGAGGGGTGAATTCTGTCTAAATGATTAGTTCCCTGACTTGGGGATACGGACTTTATAAAAAATGTATGGTTCTGCCCATGTCCCACTTCTAGCTCACTCTGCTTTTCTGTTTTAGCAACAACTCCACGAAGACAAAGAAACCATCTGATCAGTTTTCTTTCTGCAAATGCAGTTTTATTTGGTTTGAAGGGTGAAATCTCACTCATTCAGTAGCATGTGTGAAAGCTCGTCATACTTTGTTAAGTCAACAAATGGTAAGAAATGCCTCAATTTCAATGCTGTCTTTTTCCTTCAGATAGTAAGAATAATCCACAGATTTTCCAAATCTTCTTGTCTTTAGATATCTACCTTAATCTATATTCTATCATGGTCAACAAATATTTTAAATATTTAGCAATTTAAAACAATACTCTAATTATATACAATGGACTGCCACACAGTTATAATAATTTCATAATTAACTAATATTTCATTCTCACTTTCTTTACCATATATACCCAAAAAGGAAATGCAATAAGCAACTTGCTTTGAATATAAAGTTAGTAACAGTTGGGATAGCTAGAAAGAATTTTTCTGAGATTAAAAAAGACTAGGTCAACCTTTCGAAAGTGCATACCAATATTCTTTAACTCAGTAGGAAAAGATCATGTGTAAAATGCAGGGAAGGAAATACCTAAATGTCATGAGTTATTTTATAGGGCACTTCAAGTATTTGAGAAGAAAAAGTAAGATGGTTTACAATTAAAGCCAACCACCACTTCGAGCAGGATTTCTGCTTCATTCTGTATCTGTCGACCTGAACCAGCCCTCAGGACTCCCAGAGGGCCAGGGTGAGGGTTAATTTGCCACAGTCATGGTCTCAGTGGGACACAGGGAAACAACCCACAACATGGGGGGAGGGGCTTTAAATGTGCATCATTACGGGAGCTAAGGCCGGTTGGTGACTTTCTCTCTGTTAATGTATCCTAGAAAACTAATGGAGCCAACTGAAGTATTCAACTGAATACTACCAGATCCTTGCTTCTGGTGGTGACCAGCCCACCTCCATTCATTAGAGACGAAGACTTACTGGCCTCGCCGCTCATACACCTTAAATACACTGGCTCCATGGTAGCTTCCAGATAATGAGCACCATGAATGAAGTAAGGAGTAAAACTTCACCAATCCACACTAACAGACAGAGGATATAGGAAAGGAGGGAAATAAAAGAAGCTAAGCTGCATCCGGAGAGAGCATGACTTAAAGTTTGAAGTCTGTTTTATTGCTTTTGGTTTTTACAGCAAATTAAACTGAGGCACCCACTGTATGGAAGTTTTGGAAATTTGGTCTAAGGACTAAATAAGATGAGCCCATAAACATTTAAACTATAAGCAAACAGCGTACGAAAACCCAGATTCTTCTAAGCAGTTTAAATAACACTGATTCCTCAAAATTGTTAATTTGCAGATTTTCAAACGGTGGTTGGTAGATGCCTGGGAGTCTCCAACACCCTTTCAGGGGGTCCAGAGCTTAAAACTATTTTCACAACAATGCTAAGATGCGATCTGCATTTTCACTGTGCTGACATTTGCACGGCCAAGGTGGGGAGAACTGCAGGCTCCTTAGCACCAGTCACGGCCACGGCACCGACCTGTCCTACAGCTACTGTGCTCTTCACTGCCATGCAGGGCAGTTAAAAAAACAAAACAAAAGCCATGTCACTTAAGGATATCCTTCATCAAGAAGTAAAAGCAATTACTGTTAGTTAAACCCTGACCCTGAGTGCAAATCTTTTAAAGATTCCGTGTGTTAAAAGGGATGCTAAAGCCCTTCTGCCGCTACCCAGGCGCAGTGATTACCACAAGGAAAAGTGCCTGCGTCACTGAGTCAAGAGCAGAAATAACTACTTTTTTGTGGGATACCATTTTTAACCGAAAAAAACATTACAGACTAGGGCTGTTCAGACTTGGGTATTTGGCAGAATATAAAAGAAGTGAACCTGTGACTTCAAGGAAAAGACTGAAAGTACTTGCAGCCAATGATACAATTTTAACTTCCAAGCAAAAATTAGAATTGTAGAAAAGTTGTATCGGCTGCTATGAGAGCTTCCCAAAATATAGTTTTCTGATGAGGTCAGTGGTGATATTAACAAAGGAGAGGGAGAGACAGAGAGAGAGAGAGAGAGAAATGAGGTGTGTCAACATTTGGAAGATCTGCAGAAATCAGTGAAACAATATTTTCCAAATGACCAATGCATGATATTACAAAGTCATACACGGGTAAAAAAATCCATTCTCAATGCAAGACAGACCAATGGATTTTCATGTAAACAGAGCACGGGAAATTCATTGACACGGTTTCAGATTCCACACTGCAATGAACTTTTAAGAAATCACTACCCCTTGTTGATTTTTAGAGTAGTATCAAAGAAGAATATCCGCAATTATCTGAAAGAGTTATTATACTATTCCTCCCTTTTCTGACTACAAATCTGTGTGAGGCTGCGTATTCTTCATCTACTTCCACGGAAACAATACATGGAAACAGACTGAATGCAGAACCAGATATGAGAATCTAGATGTCTTCGATTCAGCCAGACATTAACAAGATTTGCCAAAATGGAAAACAGTGCCATGCTCTTCACTGAATTTTGTTGTGTGTTTCATTGAAAACATGTTATTTATGTTAACATGTAATGGGCTCGTTATTTTTATTTCAAAATAAATTAACAAAACTATTTTTAAGTTTCTCGGTTTTAATTTCTAATGTAGTAAATATTGATAGATAAAACCCACAGGAACAAAAAGATTTTGGGGATCCTTAAACATTTTCAGGATTGTAAAGGTATCTTGAAACCAAAATGTTTTAGAACCTCTGGCTGAAACGATTACTGTTAATGAAATCTGTCTTTATACTGGAAGGGTAAATTTCATCTAACTGGGATTCCTTAAGTCTCAAGTACAGCTTCCCCATGAATGAGCTTTTACTAGGCACACCCCAGTTTACCTATTTAATAGTCTCACAGAAAGAAGAAAATAAGTCTTTCCTTTCTTAAGGCCCGAGGTCAGTTTCAGTTTCTTAACATTTGTATTGTATTTTCAAAACCAATGAGTACTTAGTGATAAAATTTTCATAATTAGGCTTTTTCTCAAACAAGTAAGGCACGTGGCATGGAGGCCTAGGCCATTCTCAGAAGTCACAGGTAAACTAGTCAGAGATGAGTGCTGGTTCTCAGGTCTGTGTCGGTCCTCTAATCCATCCCAGCACATGTTCTAGACCAAATCTACCAACCTGAATCAAATTAAATTACATCTGAATTGTGGGGAATCTACATTTGGGTCATTAAAAGGAGAGAGAGAAGATCAAGCAAAAAGCTATCTATTCTGTTCCCTCACTGTTAAAGTCCCAAACAGGGAAACTCACCTCTTTATCAGCCTTTCTGAGGTAGTGGAGAAGCAGAAATAGAGGGTCCATGGGTGTGGCAAAGTGGAGAAGACCTCCTACAGATTAAAAAGAGAACAAAAGGAATTAAATGTCTTGGAAAGACAACTTATTTCATCTTAATCCCAATGTGGAAACCATTCCTTGAAAAATACATGTGAAATTCCAAATTCAGAAGCTCTTCTTACATAGGCACAAGATTTACATGACGCTTTCGAAAGGCAGAATGTGCTATAGTAAGTGTAGTCACCATCTGTCACCAAACAACATTATTACAATCTTATTGACTGTATTCCCTATGCTGTACTTTTCATTTCTGTGACTTATTTATTTTACAACTGGAAGTCTGTACCTTTCAATCTCCTTTATCTATTTCAGCCACTCCCCAACCCACCTTCCCTCTGGCAATCACCAGTTTGCCCTCTGTATTTAAGAGTCCATTTTTTGGGGTGGGGGGGGTGGGGCACCTGCGTGGCTCAGTCGGTTAGGCATCTGCCTTTAGCTCAGGTCATGATCAGGGGGGCCTGGGATTGAGCCCTATGTTGGGCTCCCTGGGGGGCCTGGGATTGAGCCCTATGTTGGGCTCCCTGCTCAGTGGGGAGTCTCTGTGTCCCTATCGCCAACTTGTGCTCTCTCTCAAATAAATAAAAAAAATCTTAAAAAAAATTGAGTGTTGGGCGCCTGGGTGGCTCAGTTGGTTAAGCGACTGCCTTCGGCTCAGGTCAGGATCCTGGAGTCCCAGGATCGAGTCCCGCATCGGGCTCCTTGCTCAGCAGGGAGTCTGCTTCTCCCTCTGACCCTCCCCCCTCTCATGCTCTCTCTATCTCATTCTCTCTCAAATAAATAAATAAAATCTTTAAAAAAAAATTGAGTGTTTTTTTGTTTGTTTCTTTTGTGTTGTTTGGTTTCCTAAATTCCATTTATGAGTGAAATCATATGGTATTTGTTTTTCTGTCTGACTTATTTCATTTAGCATTATACCCTTTAGGTCCATTCACGTTGTCACAAATGGCCAGATCCCATTCTTTTTTTTATGGCTGAATAGTATTCCATTGTGTGTGTGTGTGTGTGTGTATATATACATGCAAGGGAAACAAAAGCAAGGGAAACAAAAGCAAAAGCATAAATGAACCCTATTGGAACTACACCAAAAAAAAAGGATTTGCACAGTGAAAGAAACCATCAACCAAATGAAAAAGCAACTATTGAATGGAAAAAGATATTTGCAAATGATATAGCCAATAAAGGGTTAATACCCAAAATACATAAAGAACTTACACAACTCAACACCAGAAAAACAAATAATTTGATTAAAAAATGGGCAGAAGACCTGAATAGACATTTTTCCAGAGAAGACATACAGATGGCCAACAGACCCATGGAAAGATGTTCAACGTCACTCATCATCAGGGAAATGCAAATCAAAACCACAATGAGATATCACCTCACACCTGTCAGGATGGCTAAAATCCAAAATACAAGAAATAACAAGTGTTGACAAGGATGTAGAGGAAAAGGAACACTTGTGCACTATTGGCAGGAATGCAAATTGGTTCAGCCACTGTGGAAAACAGTATGGAGGTTCCTCAAGAAAGTAAAAATAGAAATACCATATGATCCATTAATTCCACTACTGGGTATTTACCCAAAGAAAATGAAAACACTAATTCAAAAAGATATATGCACCCTGATGTTTATTGCAGCATTATTTACAATAGCCAAGGGATGGAAACAATCTGTGTACTGAAGGATGAATGAATAAAGAAGATATGAAATATTTAGAAATCATTTTTTTTATTATGCTTTGTTAGTCACGGTACAGTACTTCATTAGTTTTTGATGTAGTGTTCCATGATTCATTATTTGCGTGTAACACCCCGTGCTCATTGTAATACGTGCCCTCCTTAATACCCATCACCAGGCTAACCCATCTCGCCATCCCCTCCCCTCTAAAACCCTCAGTTTGTTTCCCGGAGTCCATAAAAATCATTTTTAACAGAGGTCCTCCCACCACCCCCCAAAAAGGCAAGAGATGGGGGAAATATTGACAGAATGTGAACCAGACAAACATCAGGAGAACTGTATGTATAAGTTTATCTATAAAGCTGCAGTAAAATGTAATTTCCTATGCACTTGAGGATGAAGCTATGGGCAAGCAATATTATTCTCTCCAAACATAACTCTTTCTATAATCTGTGGGTTCACAGCTTAGAATTGCCAATGATTCAAAACTCAGAAGGTGGTTCCCCACCTGAGACCCTACCTTATCCAGACCTTACCTTATCCTCCTACTCCCTAAGGAAAAGGCAAGAGGAAAGAAGTCTAACAAGACTGAGCATAAGGAACAGGAAACTCTGTAGTAAGATTAATGGTACATCCAGGCTAAAAGGAAAAAAGGCAAATCAAACAAACTAGCCTATTTATTCCCCACTATTCTTTCCTCTATCACAGCCCCTCCAATCATCCCCGACTCCTTCTTCCATGGAGGTGAACCAGAAGAGATATTTCATCAAATGGAACAATAAACAATTTCTTTATCTTCATACTTATTTTGGTTTCAGGAGACATATGTACTTACTTTTATTCCCTAAAAGAGCAACCTACCTATACAGCCAAGAAATTCTAACCTTAAATTATATATATGATTTCATTTTATAGTAAGTAAAAAAAAAATTAAGAAAGTAATTTTGTAGTTGATTATTTTTTTAAAAGTAGAAGAGAAACTTATGAGAACAACCTATCAGAATCTCTAAGCTCATTTTATAGGAGGCATCCATGATAGAAATTAGGAACAGGTTTCTAGGTCTGAAAACAATATCCTGGTGGCTATTCTTAAAAGCAGCTCTTTCTTCAAGGCTAAGTTTAAAAAGAAGACAATGATGAAAAAAGCAGGCACCTTTGCTATGAACGTAAAACCACTTGAATAAATAAGGTCTATTAAAAAGAAAAAAAAAAGCAGGTACCAACTCAGACAGTCCAGGAGAGGTGATCAATCACTGCCTCCCAATATTTCCCAGTTTCATCTGGATATTACTGTGTCTATCTAGCTAAACCAGTTGCAAGTGTATTACGTTAGAAGTTAGAACTCTCATATATTGCCAAATGAATAAGCATAGCAGCGACAATAAAAGGCAATACACATACTTTCCACCTGCCAGACTATATACACAGTCTGCCGTTGCATTTTGGCAACTGAAAGCCATTTCAAGTATTCTCATGCACATAGGTATATGAAATTTATCACCAGCAATAAACTCTTGTTCTGGAATGTCTTAGAAGAAAAACAAACTGGCCTTTCTACATTGGCACTAAGTGGAGACATACACAGTCAACAGAAAGCAGAGGGCTTACAAAGAAATAGAAAATACTCTCTGGAAACAATGAGAAAATAGGCAGAGGGAATGCAGAATGCCTCAACTATCCCTGACTCCCCCTCACCTCCCCGACTCCTTGAACCATTAGAACATGCAGTATCCTTTTTCCTTCTGAGTCAACACTGCCCCCAAATTAGAGGAACATTAAAAGAACCAGAACTCTGGTGTTGGGTGTGTGTGTTGGGGGGGTTTAGAGGTGGGGGCAGTAGTAATTTATATGACAACACATTAAAAAATCTTTGTTATATTCTATTTTATTTTAGAAGCATATCCATTTGCCAAGAGATAAGATGTTAAACCTTGAAGATCCTCAAAAGTGTCTAACAGAAGAACAAAGAGTCCCCAGTCCATATAATGTATGTTCCCGTGTTAGAAAGATCACCTAATTTCTGACTAAGGGCGCATCTGTGTTTTAGGAGACCAAGTGGAGTTACTAGCTTAAATTTTCCTACTATCTAAGATACGTAGATATTGATTTAAACTTGCTCAAACTATCCTTCCTTTCCCCTTGATTAAACCCTACTCTGATGCCAAGGAAGGCTAAGACACAGACCAGACTCCAAACTGGGCAGACAGGCCTGCACCCCTATGCATGAAGGATGGAAAAGCTAGAGTATGTGTTTAGTTAACGGAAATATATACACTAGTCACTTACCTGATTGGACTGATTGATTTATAAACCAAGAACGGTATTTTTCCTTGAAAATTTTTATTTCAAACAGCTGCTGTAGACACATATTGAACAAGTAAATGGTTCCTTCCCCTGTTAAGACAAATCTGTTTTTTATTTTTAAGTTTTCACACACACACACACACACACACATACACACACACAAAATCAAAAGACTGTCCAATAGTTCTGAGGAATGTTCCTAATATGGACATAAACATACATAGATATATTCTATACAAACTGACTCCCAGGAAAGTTCACAGCTATTATATACAGATGCTTGTTTTCCAGCTCTATAATCCTCACTGAACTTAAACCAATAAATAAAAGAAAGTGCAAATCATTCATCTTAACTGCTACAAAGCCTCTCATTGAATCCTCCATTAGATCTCAAGGGGAAACCCATTCTTAAACTACCCAAACCTAATGCTTCAATCAGCTGGCATGTGGCTCCCTGTCACCAGAGGGCCCAAGAGAGGGACAGGGCCTGAGGGCCAGCTCTAAGTGAGAAAGACAAGGGCCCTTCGAGGCATGAAATTTTTTTCTAACCACAGCACTATCAAGGACCCTGAGTTTGAATCTAGTGTACCACATGCTGTGCATGTGCCCTCAGGGAAGTTATGTAAACCTTTCTGTGCCTCTGTTTCCATATCTGTAAAATGGGAGCAATAGGGAACCTACCTCACAGGTTTTTGTAAGGATCAGAAAGGCAGAACACATGTAAAGTTCCTAAAACAGTCCTCGGCTCATAGTAAATGCTCAGCAAATGTTAGCCTTTATTTTTCCACAGTCAATGTGGTAAATGCAAACATTTGCTCCTCTGTTGTTTATGGACATTTAGATAAAACAGAAATTGTACAAGAAGCCTGACTTTTTGTGTACCTTTACTTTCATTAAATGCTTTACAACCTTTACTGCTACCTAAAACTTCTCTTGAAAAAATTTGCTTGCCTCAATTTAGTCTTAACATAAAATTAGAAGTTCCAGATAATATGAATTTTCAATTCAAATTCAATTCCATTTTGAGGAAAAGGAAACTGGAAGAAGCCAGGAATTTTTGCCTTTCTTTTGGCTTCTATTTATGCCTGTCCATTAACAACGATAACAAGGCTCTACGCATGGACTTTCCCTTGTTTTTACTCTTCAATATTGTACCCACCAGCACAATGCTCTAATTTGCTAAGTATCAAATGTCTACTCAAAACCTTATAAAATTAATAACAACCCTCTAACAGAAATCTTGTGAAATAAATTAACAAAAAAATAATCTCACATAGAGATAAATATCAATATTACTATGTATTTATGGTATATTTTAATATTTTTGCCTAAAATTAGAAAACAAAATGCACTGAATATAAAGTTATAATGAAATTAGTTGTAATAAAATATGTATCTCTGTATAAAATGCTTTTAATATAAAAAAAAATCACCTCTTGACTAGGAACAAATATACTGCCTTTTCAGAAGAAAATAAGGAAAGTACCACTAAATATGAAAACACTCAAAATCTTGGCATGTCAAGTAAAAACTTTGTTTTTTCTTTTTTACTCTGGCTGTTTATTTTACTTTACAACATAAAATGAATATAAGTGGACGCTAATGTTGGATAACTACTCTAAGAAGAGTTGGCTTAAGAAAGCTAAAGAAAATCAGTCTGTTTTCAGAGAGAAGCCAAACACACCACTTTCTGTCTTGCATGCATTTCTGATGAGTGAACAGTTCTACGGATTTAAATTAGAAGAACAAATAAACAATGTTTAGGTCAAGGTTGCTTTTGTCACCCAGTAATGCCATCTTACCTTTAAAAGCTATTAAGGAAGAACAAACGTACAAAGGTAAATAAGTATATACACTTTTTGGCAGCAATGTTTAAAAAACATTAAAGTTACTGTTATCGGAAGAGAAGGGGGGAGGAAAGCTTACCTGAACATGGATTAACCAATTTTACAAACATAAGCCCACTTTTCATCTTCTTTGAAGCATCTTTTAAATATTCTGAAAAGAAACGATAAGTTTGTAAAATTAAAAGACATTTGCTTTGTTGCTCACCTTATTTACTTTATTCTTTTTTTCCTTCTGTTTCTATGATTTTTCTTTGTAAACTCTCTGACTCCAATTTGGTTGTACCCTCTGCATCATACTTAAAAAGGCCTTCTCTTCCTCAAGCCTGTATGAATCACCTATATTTTCTCCAAATAATGTTGTATCTCTATTCTATCTAAAATATAGTTGGATATAAGATATGGAGAGGAGATCCAACTTTTTTTTTCAATGAATTGTCCAGTTGTACCAACGCTATCTTCTGAATAACCCATGATTGAAATAATTCCTTTATGCTAAATGTTTAAACTACATTTATAAGTCTGCCTATGGAAATTCTAATTTGGTCTACTAATCTGTGTCTATATTAGCAATACTACTTCAATATTTTGATTACTATAGCTTTAAAATACATTTTAATATCTATTGAAGTAAGTTCTCTCATTATGTTTCCTCTACAGTATTTTACTGTCAAAGTTTTAATGGTGTAGATGAAAACTCAAAGACCATGACCATTTTATTTATAACATCTTCCATACATTTTGAATGCACATTCATAGAACTCATTTAGAGACTCTCTCTCCAAAAGGAACAAAGGGGCTCTCCTAATCTGGCAGAGCAACTACCAAAGAGCAAATCAGAGAGCTTTGGGGTAAGGAGTGGCACTTTATTGTTTTTATTTTCTGGGTCCCCCCCTCCCTTCACCCCACTTCAGATCTTCATAAACTTAAATACAGCAAGCATGATTAGAAATCGCCTTACTCGTAAATGGTTAAAATACAACTTTCTTCTTAAAATAAGAGGAATATTAAATATATAAAAGAAAAAATAAACCCTAATTTTGAGATTTCTACTTGTAACTAAATGGAGTAACAAGAACTTTATTTATCCTCCCACCTAAAACCACCAAACCAACAACTACAAAACATATGAAACAATCATGTTCAAGACCCTGGGCGCTGAGCCATGTGGGACAGTGATCCCTGCAAGATGGGCAACAGTGGAGGTGAACCCTATGAATCCTCTGCTTACTGCCATGAGAGAGTTTCCATCTGCAGTGCAGGATGGAAAGCCCCAGGGGAAGGCTGGCCGACTCCCTGTGTTGAAGACGTGGAGCTGAGGGTTCTAGAGGCACCATGGCTACGGTTCACTGGGTGGCGTACAGAAAAGGAGAGAACTACAAAGAAAGGAAACTTTCTTTGTTGTGCAAAGGATACTGCTTGAGTATCCAACCGAGTACTGATCAGTGCATGCAGATGATGAAGCTACCTGAGGGCCAGGAGGATAGAGGGGAGAGTACCTCACGTTCACGCAGGGCTCGGAACTCCAGACAGACTGGAAAGCCTCTCAATTCAGAGGATTCAAAAGGGGGCCTTGCCTCAGCAGCAGGGAACAAAGAGCCCTAGCCTGAATGCTGCTGTGGTACCAACAAACTAATTTTAAAGAGCAAGACCTAAAAGGATCAAACTGTTTCTGAGTACCCTCACTGTGCCCCAGAATGAAGCTCAAGATTATTTATAGGAATACAAAAATATATTAATCGGCCAAAAAAGGTAAAATTCACAATGTCTGGCATCTAATCGAATATTACTGGGCATTCAAAGAAGCAGAAAAATTGGCCCATAATGAGAAAAATGAAGAACCCAATTATTGAGGGACGGGTCCTGATATGAGACACAGATGTTAGAATGAACAGGCAGGGGCATAAGAACGGTATTCCTCATGCACAAAAAATTAAGTAGAGACATAGAAGTTTTCTTAAAAGACCCAAATTGAAATGAAAAATACACTGGATGGGATTAATGGCGGAAGAAAAGATTAATGAACTGAAGACATAGCAATAGAAACTATATGAAATGAAAACACAGAGAAAAAAGAATGAAAAATAGACATTAGTGAACTATGGGATAACTTCAAGCATCCTAGTAATACATGTGTCACTGGAATTCTGAAAGAGAGGATGTGGGAATGGAAAAAATATTTGAAGAAATTATGGCTAAATATTTTCAAATCTGATGAAAACAATAAACCTACACATCCAAGAAGTTCAATTAAGCCAAAGTACAGGAAATAGGAATAAACTATACATCATAATCAATAGTTCAAAGCCAATAATAAAGAGCAGATCTTAAAAGCAGACAAATTTAAAGAAGACACATTATGTACAGAGGAACAAAACTAAAAATGACAGCAAATTTCTTCATTGGAAACAATGCAAGCCAGAACACATCTGTAAAGTACTGAAAGAAAACACGATGATCCCAAAGAAATTACCCTTGAAAAAATGAAAGTGATAAATACACTTTTTCAGACATTCAGGAGCTGAGAGCAATAACCACCAACAGACCCACACTACCAGGAATGCTAAAGGAAGTCCTGGCAGAAGGAATAGGATACCAGATGAAAATATCAATCTAAACAAAGAAATGAGGAGCGCTGGTAATGGTGACTACAGGGGTAAATCAATAAGAATTTTTCTCTATTACTTAAATCTCTTTAAAGATCACTGACTAAACAAAAACAAGTTAGTGTGGAGTTTACAACATACATATAAATAAAATATATGACAACGACAGCATGAAGTCTAGGACAGGGGAAAGGAAAGCATACTACTGTATGTTTCATCCTATTGTGAGTTTCTTCTGCCATATGTGGAATGCCTGAAGTAGATGGGATCAATATACGTGTGCAATAAACCCCGAAGTGACCACTAAAATTAACAAAAAATGCTGTCACTAATAAGACAACATAGGAGATGAAATAGAACCATAAAAAAATACTCAATACAAAAAAAAAAAAAGGCAGAAGGGGAATAAAAGAAGTTATAAAGGACAGATGAGACAAAGAGAAAACAAACAGCAAGATGACAGACTCAAACCTAACCCTATCAATAATCACATGCAATGTAAATGTGCACCCTAATTCAGAGGCAGAAATTTTCAGATTGGTTAAAAAGGTAAAGTAATAGGGGCGCCTGGGTGGCTCAGTTGGTTAAGCGACTGCCTTCGGCTCAGGTCATGATCCTGGAGTCCCGGGATCGAGTCCCGCATCGGGCTCCCTGCTCGGCGGGGAGTCTGCTTCTCCCTCTGACCCTCCTCCCTCTCATGCTCTCTGTCTCTCATTCTCTCTCTCTCAAATAAATAAATAAAATCTTTAAAAAAAAAAAGTAAAGTAATACTATATGCTGCCTATAGAAACACACTTGAAAGATGCAAGTAGATTAAAAGGAAGGAAGAAGATATATCACCCTTTTCATGCTAACACTAATTAAAAGAAAGATGGAATGGCTCTGTTAATAAGACATAGAACACTGCCAGTAATAAAGAAGGTCATCTCATTGACTGACTTATTGCACTTAGCATTATACCCTCTAGCTCCATCCATGTTGCTGCAAATGGTGATTTCATTCTTCTTTATGGCTGAGTAATATTCCATTGTATATTCATATACCACCTCTTCTTTATCCATTCAGCTTCCTACATCTTGGCTATTGTAAATGATGCTGCAATAAACACAGGGGTGCATGTATCTTTTCAAATTAGTGTTTTCCTTTCTTTGAGTAAATACCCTGTAGTGGAGTTACTGGATCATATGGTAATTCTAGTTTTAATTTTTTTGAGGAGCCTCCATACTGTTTTCCATATGATTTCACTCACATTTGGAATTTAAGAAACAAAACAAATGAATAAAGAAAAAAGAAACAAACAATAAAACAGACTCTTAACTATAGAGAACTGGTGGTTGCCCCAGGGGAAGGTGGGTAGGGGGATGGGTGAAACAGGTGAAGGGGATTAAGAGTACACTCATTGTGAATGGATAAAGAAGATGTGGTATATATATACAATGGAATATTATGCATCCATCAAAAGGAATGAAGTCTTGCCATTTGCAACGACGTGGTTGGAACTGGAGGGTATTATGTTGAGCGAAATAAGTCAATCAGAGAAAGACATGTATCATATGACCTCACTGATATGAGGAATTCTTAATCTCAGGAAACAAACTGAGGGTTGCTGGAGTGGGGGGTGGGGTGGGAGGGATGGGATGGTGGGGTGATAGACACTGGGAGGGTATGTGCTATGGTGAGCGCTGTGAATTGTGCAAGACTGTTGAATCACAGACCTGTACCTCTGAAACAAATAATGCAATATATGTTAAGAAAAAAAAAAAAAGATAGCAGGAGGGGAAGAATGAAGGGGGGAAATCGGAGGGGGAGACGAACCATGAGAGACGATGGACTCTGAGAAACAAACTGAGGGTTCTAGAGGGGAAGGGGGTGGGTGGATGGGTTAGCCTGGTGATGGGTATTAAAGAGGGCATGTTCTGCATGGAGCACTGGGTGTTATGCACAAACAATGAATCATGGAACACTACATCAAAAACTAATGATGTAATGTATGGTGATTAACATAACAATAAAAAATTTTAAAAAAAGAGTACACTCATCGTGATGAGTACTGAGTAATGTGTGGGATTGTGGAATCATTGTATTGTATACCTGAAACTAATATATGTATGTTAATTATACTGGAATTAAAAAAATAAGTAAAAAAATTTTTTTTAAAAAGGCCATGTGATTTCATAATGATAAAAGGATCAAGAGGAAATAATCCTAAATGTTTATGCTCACAAATACAGAGCTTCAGAATGCACTAGGTAAAAGCTCATAGAGAACACTCTGCCCCATTTCCAACCCCTGGAAACCACTAATCTGTTCTCCATCTCTATAGTTTTGTGATTTTGAGAATGTTATATAAATGGAACCATACAGATTTAATTTTAAGAATCTTTTAAGACTTTCCTTTCTGCAACTTATAAAAATGTGAAGGATAAAGTTTAGCACTGTTAAAAACTTTTCCACAAAACTAAAACAAGCTGTGGTTTTTTCCCTCCTTCACCCTGCCGTTTCTCACTATTCCAGCATCACTGTCTCCATTATGTCAAGGAACAGAAAA